ATAGCTAATGAGAGAGATAGATAGAAGGCTAACATGAAGGAACGTCTCTGTGAGTCCTTGTTACGAGATAATTGTAATTTTTATTTTTATTCAATGTCTATTAACGAGGTGAAGGCCTAGGAGGTTGGAGTAAGCAGATTTTCAAAGCAGAGTCTCCGGCGTAAGGAATCCGCCTGGAGACGATGTCAGAGTGGTGGGATGCCACTGCTGATAAGGATTCTGACTATACTTATACGGCTCTGTGCTTGGCACCGATGCCATGCGCGCATGACCCTGTGCTTGGCACCGATGTCATGCGCCCGCAAGGAGGAATGGAAAGGGAATAATAAGTGTGTGAGCGTAGTTCACTGCGTTGACAGACACTGGGGTTTCGTAATCGCGATTTAGAAAAAAAGAAGAATCTGAAGATTGTCTTTCTCTCTCTCTCTCTTTATATATATATACTAGCTTGTATAGCGCATCCTAAGGAAATCGGAACGAAATTCTAAGAGCGGTTTGACAAACTAAACGTAGATAATACACTATTCGGATTATAATGAATGATCCTTACGTAAGGCAGTTACGAACCGACATGAATGAAAATTACAGCGTGATGCTATTGTATCTGTTAAATAATTCGACTTGGCATATGATGAAACGTCACTGGTTCACTCGCGTAACAATGTTCCTAAGGCTTAGATCGCGATTGTATTTCACTTGCGCGAAACGCGGTGTATGTGAGTGTTGTGCCTTAAAATATTGTATACTTACTATTTATTTCAGTAGCTCAGACTTTTGCAGAGAAATCTCAAAGAACAGGCTTTTTATTCCAGAATACTCGCAGTACTGTTGGGACCACTCCAGCCACGGCACAACTCGAGCGGGGAGTCGACTTATCCGCACACTTTGAGTATTATAAAACACCGTGGATGTTCTGGCAAGTTTCCTAAGAAATCTTCCAGATTTTAAATAGCACAAGGCAAAGGCTCTGAAGGAGCGTAGGAAAAGGCTCTTATGCGAGACGACCGTTGTCCGTGGTGGCACGGTCGCTCAGAGACACTTTTCCTCTTTGCGTCAAATTAACAAAGATGTCTTCGAGGCACGTCTGTACTGTATGAACTTCCGATGTCGACTCTGCGGTGGGAGCTGCTCCCGGGGCCTGGTTCGGTCCGGACAATGGAACTCAAGAGTGGGGTAGGCTATATGGTAGGAGTAATGGGATTATACGAGAGGGATCCAGAGTAGGAGCGTTCAAGGTTTTTCAGAGTGGGACTGAGTGGCGTGATGCTGACGGGGCGTCGAGACACCTCGGCGCGCCGCCGGATGTGATAAGGAGCGTGGTCAACAGGATGCCCTATGTTACGTGATATAGGCTCAGGTTACTCGGGGATTCCAGAGCACCCTCGGTGGCCCGGCTGCGTGCGTGCCTTATCTTTGAGACTTCCTGTCGCCAGTCTGACTTATTAATTTATACGTGCGCGTAATTATTTATGCCTTATAATATTATATTATTATAATAAAAATGGTTAATATTATATATGTGTGTTTCTTAAGGTTATAATATACGCCTAATTTAGTATTATATGAATAGTGTAATAGAAAGTTATAATGTTAATTAGTTATGATTTTTATAAAGACAATATGCATGTGTTATAATAAAAGAGATATTTGTTATTAAAGTTTAAATGTGGTTGTTAAGGATTATTACAAGAAATGTATATTGTTAACAGTGGGTTTTAGAGTGTAGAGATTTATAATATTGTTAACTGGAAAAATAGGATTTCTTATTACAGGGATCCTTATTATTACTGTTGTTAAATTAATGTTTCTCGGCAAGGCTGAGTTCTACCATAGGGCTCTCTACTTACGTATGTCGGTAAGGTAGACCCCTTGGGTAGGTTTCGCTATTATTGGCATCGGTAATTAATTAACAATTGTTATAAACGGTTCTTATGTATAAATTACCGACTTTTAGACCTTATAGAAGCTTATGGTAATAGAAGATTCGATGAACAATTAATTTTTATTATTAGTGATGAGTTCAAGCCGTTGTACTGTACGAACGAATTTAAAAGAGTGCAGTATTTAAAAGGAGCTTGAACGTGGACAGAAGGCTTAAATTAAATTAAATAAAGTATTTAAACATGACCAAGGCAGAAATGATGGATTCCAAGCTAAATAGAGTATTCAAGCGACCCCTGAACTTAAATAAATGAAGTTTATTAAATTTTAAGTAAGAATTACCAAATTTTGAGAATGTACTGTCAGAAGGATTCTCTGTTTGTGGGCAAGAATTAATTGGTTTCGTTTGGCATTATTTCCTTTTGTAATTAATATTCTGAGGTTTTGACATTTGCTTATGTTTCACTAAAATGTTCTCTATGTACGTAGGTGTTAAAAATATTTTAAATTGACTTTTCTTAATTTTCACGGAAGGTACGCATTACTGGCGTCCCAATAGTCCCTACGTATGAATTTTAAAATTTTCTGAAGTCTATTGGTAAGTAACATTGTTGGTTTCTTATTAATTGTTAATGTTTTCAAAATGTTAATATGGTCGTTAAATAGAGGTCTTTTAACGCTACTGTTAGCAATTAAGATTTTTCTTCTAGGCCTTATAGTTACTGAGAAAAACATGCCTTTTCCTGATTGGTCGAGACATTCAAATAGCCGTAACTTCTAAACTATCGATTTTACAGAAATTTTATTAGGATATAATTTGTAATACTTTGAAGGGGCCTTAAATCGCACCGCGCGATTTTCTAAAATTATTATTATTTTAAAAGATATGAACTTTTGTCGATAAATTTTAATAGTAACAATTACCTTTTATGGTTGAATCTACCTATATGTCTCGCTGGCCTTTTAATGTAGAGGCGAAAAAATGATATGGTGGAGAGAACGTCGCAGGACGTTATATAAGCACCAAGCTGCGACTGATGATCGACGACACGGGCGACGCGACGGCCGCGAACGACCGAATCAGCGCGTATCGTTATGACGACGGGACGAGAACCGATGACCACGGCGTCGCGGTGGACGACACGCCCTCGGTGTGGCTGCGACTGTCCGAGCGCGACGACGAGGTGTCGGGTCGCGTTGGCGAGAGAGTCGTGACGAGTCGATTCGCGACTCTGCGCTCGCGGGTCTCGTGCGAGTACGATCTGCGCGACTGCGTCACACTGCTGATCGCGCGATCGTACGTCGCGCTCGTAAGGGCGCTCGAGGTGAGCGCGTCCGCTGGCAAGGGACTCGCTGTCTGTGCGACGAGGTGGCGCGATCGCGCGCCGAACGCCACGCTCTGCGCGACAAAGTGGCGCGATCGCGCGAAGCCGCGAACGCGGAGGATCGCGAGATATCGACGAAGCGCGACAAAGCACGTGAATTGCGTGCCGTCAACGAGGTGCTGAACGCACGCGTTTGATTGGAGCGAGAACGCGTGGCGAATCGAACGAATCTGATCATAAGCGAGATCGTCGACGGTATGCGGGAGGTGGCCGATTTCGCGGAACGTAGTAGACAGCGTAAACTCGCGGAGCTTCGGGCCTCCCGGCAGCGACTCGTGGCGGCGCGCGACGACACGCTGAAATCGATGTCCCGGACGCTTCGCGCGATGGACATGACCAACGCGGGAGCGTACGATTCGGACGCGTCCGACGTCGCGTTGAGTGCGGAGTCGGATATGCGCGCCACGTTGGCGCGATGCGCGACCAGCGGAAAGCTCGTGCTGTTGACCGAGGGCGGAGTGGCTGACGTTGAAGCGACCTCTGCGTCGCGCGCGTCGACGGACGACAACGACGACCAAGAAAGCAAGGCCGCGGAACGCCTGGCCGTCGAGTTGCGCGCCACAGTGCCTCGATGCGATGCGCTGAAACGACCGCGCATTCACGAATTCGCCTCGGCTCTGGCAGAACAGACCGTCGCGCGAAGCAGACGCGAGACGCTTCTGCGCACGCGAGACGTGCTGACGTCTCGCGTGCGCGTTTACGCCGGGTTGCTGCGCCGTTACGCCCTGTGGTATTCCTGCGTCATCGACATGGACCGGTACGAGAGCGTGGTTCCGTATTGAATCCGAGAGCGACATCAGCCGTTGACGTCGACGGGTGTCACGACCATCGCCAATTGGTCGCGCGAGCTCGGTCGAGACGCTTACGACGCGATCGTGCGTTCGGTGACGCGTCGAAGACCGCGAGCGACGAGAGCCGGGAACGGGTCGGCGTGCGACTGCGGCGACGCGTTCGCCGTGCTCAAAGATCTGGTCGAACTGAGGCACGCGACGGCGGTGACGACGAATACCGAAAGCGCTGTCGTTACGTCGAGATCGACAACGCGACCGAGCTGTGGCGCGAGATCGTCGACTTCGAACGCACCACTCGAGTCGTCGAGATCGGCGATCGCGCGTGTGATCTCGACACGACGCGCAGGTTGTCGCTGTTCCCGAGCATGTCGCTGGCCGATCGCATTGGACTGCGCTTCGCCGTTTATTGCGCCTCGGCGCCATTCTCCTATCGCCCGCCCACCGTCGAGACTCTGTGAATCGTGGAGTCCTCGGTTCGAACGCACGAGGCGTGCTGACGCGGGTCCGTCGACGCGAACTGATCTCGAGCATTTCCAGTCGCGCGCGATCGCGGCACCTGTTCCCTCGCGACCGGAACCGCGCGTCGCGATCCATTCGTGAGCGGATCCCATTTTCGCGCGAGTCGCGAGCGGATCCTACTTTCGCGCGAGGTGCGAAAAATAGGTGCCGTCTCGAGGATTTTCGATGGATCCTAATGACCGTCAAAGAAACTCGAATCACCGTGTTTTCGCTCGATTTGACGAAAACAGAGGTGGCACGCGGATCCTCGAACGGAACCTAAAAACGCGCGATCGACCGAGCGATCGCGCGAAATAGGCATCCTATTTTCGCCGGAGCGACGTGCGCTCGCGCGAGAATATGATTCCTCGTTTACCGTGCGATCGCGCGAAATAGTTCGCGAAAGAGAGATAAAACGATCGAGCGCGCGAAACGAGACCCTAACATGGGCGCGAGCACGACCGTGCGCGTCCTGGTGATCATCGCGATCATCGTCGCACTCATCGTCGCATTGATCTACCTCGTCGGGCGGGCGAAGGTCCGGAGCAACGATCGACTGAAACAGCTGTTCAACAGCGAAACGTTGGACACGCTGCGCATCGGTGTCGGCGTTACAGCCGAAGAGATCAGTAAGTCTGTGGTCTCGGGACCCATGTCTGCGCTGTTGTTCCCTTCGAAGCGAACCTCGCGCGATTCGCCGTCGCGATGAACGCGTCGCGTGGCGCGACCACCTCTCGCGTTCCGTCCCCGTCGAGACTACCGCGTACGAGAGAGCGACCGACGAATTCGTTCGAGAGTACAACGAAGAGGCCCAATCGATCGTGGAATTGGAGCGCGCCGACAACACTGCAGCGGCCGACAAGCATGTGGCTCTCGGTACGATCGTGGTCCGATACGCCGCCACGTACGATCGATTCATCGTCGATCCGGCGCACAGACAGTTTCTGCGCAGCGGTGTCGCGCGCGTCGTCGCTTGGACGACGCGCGCAACACCGGCGACTCCGCGGACGCCGACGCCGATCCGCATGTGCACACCGATGGACTGTATAAGGAACAGCACGCGCTGTTGCTGAACGCCTATTTCGTGATCAACGACGAGCCGGAGAGCGCCCTGTTGGCGGACGAGATGATGGAGCGACGACCGAGCACGCGGGCCGGTGCGAACGTGATTCTGTACGGACCATCGGGCACCGGTAAAACTGCGGCCGCTCGAGCAGTGGCCCGGTCGCTCGGTTCGACTCTGGCGTTCGTCAACGCGGAGAACCTGCTGTCGGCCTACCGCTTGGAGACCAAGAAAAAACTGCGCTCGCTGTACCGGAAGATGCGCGCTCTCGTTTGCATCACCGGTCGCAACGTGTTGCTGCTGCTGGACGCGGTGGACGGACTGGTGAAGAATCGTAGCGGTGCCGTGACCAGCGGCGAGTACAGTCTGCTCACGAGATTTCTCACGATTCTCGAACCGAACGACGGGACGGACAACTACGGCGTGTTCAGCATCTTCACGACCAACCGTCTAAGCAACCTGGACGACGCGTTTCGTCGTCGGTGCGCCGCCGTGTTCATGGGTTACGTGGGTTACGTGGGAGGCCACGGTGCGATTGTTCAACGCTTTTCTGCACTGACCGATTGACTATGCGACACGAGGCACTAGATTCGCCAGTCGGGACTACGAATCGGAGATTCGTCGAACATGTCGTCACTGGGTGCCCGGAGACTTCACGCGCTTCAAACGCACGATCGGGGAACCGTCGCGCTTGCGTCGTTACTTCGAACGATCCGACACCACGTACGAGGACTTTGTGACCGAACGCCTGGCGACGCCGTCGATGACGGTCGCGACGATCGAGAGATAAGCGTGACTCTGCTGTTGCTATCATATACCGAGATATTGGCGCACGCGGCGCGTTACGAACCGGTGACACCGCTTGACAAATACGGCGAGTACGATCCGCCGCCGGCGCGACGGGACGGGAACGATGATGAGGATGGGTGAACCAGTAGCAGGAAATAATAAACGACTCGTCGTGGATACTGACGCGTACGTGCATTGTTTAATCGACCTCTTTCCTTCAGGTGAATGTGCATACAAGTGCATATACGTGCGTGCGTCACGAAAAACGCAAAAAGATACGGCGCGCGAACGCGCGCTCGATCATCGAGGTATGTGCGACGCGACGCGAGAGCCGCCGCTACGAAGCGACCGTAGCGGTAGTCCGGATGAGATTCGTTTCGTGTATATTTCTCAGATCGAGCACCCCGGATCGAGTTCGGACGTTCGAAACGTTCTCGGCCGAATCGCGGGACTCGGCGACAGGGTTGAACCGCAAGCCGCGCGGACACTCGACGATCCTCAATTTCGCTCCGCATAACTCGTTCGAACATCGACGATTCCGTAACGGCGACGGTCGTCTTCGGGCGGTTCTCGCGATGGTCGTTGGTCGGTCGTCGCGAAAAACGGTCGTCGCGTCGAACCGCGGACGAGGGACGCGGCTGTCGATAGCGACGATCCTTCGCGGTAGCGACTGACAGACATCCGGCCAATGGCGAATCGTACACCGTGGCGTTTGTTCCTTCGAGCGTGTGTCGACCGGCATCTGGCGCGTACGTACGATCGAGAGTCGACGATTTTCTGTCTCGTCGCGTACGCTCCGGGCTCTACGCGACGCCCGGATATCGCGATCGCCGGACGACGACGTCCTCAATGAACCATCCGTGCTATCGTTGCTCCGCGCTGTGATGGAGAATCTGGTCGCGCGAGCGAGTGTTGGCGCGAACGCGCCGGTCACTTGCCGAACGTGATATTTCACACGTGACGCGACGGCGAGACGAACGATCGCGGTGGCGCGTACGACGCGATCGGCACCATCGCTGCAGACTCGGCGCTTGGCGCCAGAAGGCGCCGCGCGTACACCGCGATCACGAGCGCCAGGATAAACAGCGCACCGCCGAACAATCATGGCAGATTGCTCGCGCTGGTGACTAAACTGTTCTTCGCTATCCTCGCGATCGACGCGCCCGCTCCGACGGCATTGTCCACCGTGGACCCTACGAATTTCTGCAGCGCATCCAAAGCGTCCATTTTCTCGCAGAGTACGTAAGCGTTATCGGCCAATTTCTCCTTGTTCACCCAATCGACGTTGCGCGGGTCGGTCTCAGTCGCAGTGCACGCAATACGGCGCTTTATGCTCCGCGGCCGCGCGATCGCACTCGTTCTCGCGGACTCGCATCTTCTTCCATAGGTTGGCGTCGCGACACGCGGTTGCGAGTGGCTTTGTCGCGAGAGAGCGCCAATTCGCGCGATCGTATTCCACCGCGAGCGACACGGGACAGGAACAGCCCGTGACTCGCCAATTGCTCACGCCGTTGGTGAGATCTCGCGTGTACACGGAACATCCCGTGTTCGCGGCTGCGTGCTCGACGACCACGCGCGCCAGATACCACAATCCGACGCCGGCCGAGATCAACGAGACGCCCAGATATAGAATCATATTAGTTCGCGACGTTTTGCTGAGAAGCGCGTTGGCTCGATTTAGAGTCGTCGGATCGGAGCGAATCACGCGCTCCAGTGTCTCGACGCTCTCGATTCGCTCGGTTCGCGCGACAAGGTTTCGCTCGATCAGCGTTTCGCGATGGCGCGTCAGGTACTCGGCGCGATGAGTGATATTTGTGTCGGGAAAATGAATCGACGCCACTTCGTCCAGATGTCGGAAGAAGGAGCTTCGAACGGCGGGTGACAACGCGGCGCCGGTCGCCGTCTCGAACGCCTTGACCGATTTGGCGGTGCGCAGCATCGCCATGAACTCGCGGGCTTCCACGCGACCGCCGAGCATCACCAGTTCCACCCCGTTTTCGGCGACTCGTTCAGTCGTTGACAGCGACGAGAAGCGCGCGGCGAGGGATCGCACGCGCTTTCCCAGTGTCGACAGCGTGATGTTCCAATGAGTAACCTTCACCGCGAAGGAAACGCCCACCGCGTGAAACGCGCGAGTCGCGTTCGCTATGAAATGGCGCAGAGCCGTACCTACGCATGACATGATGCTCTCAACGCACCATACGGATACGGATTGGGAGAAGGTCGAGAGAACGAGCGGACGATCGAACGACGAAACAGTGTCACGTTTTTTCCTCTCTCTTTATTCCCATTTGTCGTACACGCGCACACTCCGGTCTCGAATTTTTTCGCCAGTAGCGCATTTATCAATCCGAAACGCCGATGTCGCCGGTTCCTCTACCACGGACGATTCGTCGGTCGCGACGGACGTCGCCATCGGTCGTTTTCGTTCTCGTCCGATGTCGAGAATTGAGGGTCGCTGCGTTTCTCGGGGTCTCGCTCTTCGAAACGATCATCCTCGAGATGCGGATATTCGGTCGATTGAATCGCGATGTCCTCGGTAAGCGATGCGATCGTCGCGTCTTCGAGCCACGATGACGTCTGGGCTCGGGAGCGCGACGCGTCTTCGCACGACGCGAGCACGTAATCGCCCGTCGTCGTCGCGGCGACGCGAGGTCGCGACCGTTGACATGACTCGCGATCGCCTCCCGAGACAACGCTCGCGTCGTCCACGATCATCGCGACGCGTCATCGTCAAGCGGACGACGATTCTCGCTTCCCTCGAGGACGATTCGCGACCGCGCGAGATTCCTTTTTCTCCGTGGAGATGATCGCCTGTTCGAGAAGGCGCGACAGCAAGACGGTGTCGTCGGTGTCGTCGTTCTCGCCCGGTGGCTTCGTCGCGACGTCGACCTCAGTGGCGTCGATCGCGTCGTCGCGAGGAGCGACCTCGACGCGAGTCATCGCGGCGCCGATCGCGATCGACCCGGTCACGCGCGTCTCGCGTTCCGGCGACGCGGGATTGCGACGATCGCAGTCGTCGGTCGATGAGACTCGCGACTCGATATCGGCGACGACGTAGTCGACGGACGGTCGTCGCGACGACGCGATCGTCAACGCGTCCGCGTCGCGTTCGTTCGCGACGCTGTCGAATCAAAGTTTGTCGACGGTTGGAGGAGCGATCGACATCGTCGCGCGTCCCGCCGCGACCGTCGTTCGCGACGCCATCGTCATTGCGTTCAGTTCTCGCGTCGAACGAACGCGCGGCGACTCGCTCGCCTCGCTCGTCGTTCACGGCGATTGCGGCTCGATTCTCGCTCGCGCCGGAATCGCCGCGACGATGGAACGAACGCGTTGGCGCATTCGCGGTGTCGTCGACCGCTCTCTTTCTTTTGACGAACATGTCCACGTACGTGTTGACGGCGTCCATATCATTCTACTCGTACACCGGCGCGTCTCTGAACAGTCGCGAGTCATTACCCACATATTCGCGCAGCGCCTCCAGCACGACCGAGCGCATCAGGCGAAAGTACGGGTTCTCGCAGGAGTCACCGCTCGCACTCGCGTCGTACGTTTCGCAATTCCGTCGAATGTCGTTGAACACGTCCTCTATAGTGATGTAAACGGCGCGCACTCCTCTGTCCAGCGGAACGAGTTTGGACGCGGTGGACGCCATTACGCCGGTGCCCAATTGAACGGCGTACCGGTAGAACGTCAGTCGCGTCAACAACTGCACGAACATATTGAACACCATGTTCATTTCGCAGCACGCGATCACTGTCGCGCAGCAGCGTTTTGTACATGTCACGCAGTACCGCGAATATGCGTTTGTCGTGACATCGCAGCATATCGATCGATGCCGTTTGTACGTAGCGCACAGCGTCCATGATCGGCGATCTATCGCTGGCGTACGGATTAGTCGCCCGAAATGCGGCGGTCGCCGCATCGATCAGCGACGACGATCGTGGCGGGGTGTTCTCTCTCGTTCGTTCGGACTCCGAAACACCCTTCTCGTGCGCATCGTCGCGAGCAATGGCTTCCGCGACGCCGCATTCGTCGTTGTCTCGCGGCAGTGGAAAGGTTCGCGGTGTCAGATTGTGCAGGTGTTCCACGATGTTTCGCTTCGCCGCGCACGAACGGGGTGTGCTGAACTCTAACGTAGCGGCGCGAAATCACGCGGTCGGAATAATACGCTCCTGTATTAAGAGAACGAGGTTGGCGAAAAAAGAGCATGGTGGAATCGAACGCGTCGTCTTCGTCGTCATCGTCGTCTCTCTTCAACGCGGACGAATCGTCGCGGGCGACTCGTCGTCGCGATGAGCGTAGTTATCGCGAGTACTCTCGAAGCGCCAAGGGCGTTGCTCGCGATCATGAAATCCCAATGACGACGTCGCTCCTCGTCGAGAACGCCGTCGTCAAACCGATGTTTCGAGCGACGACCAGAAATGGCGTTTGTGGTGGCGCGTATTGCATGTTGCGATTCTCGTCGCGATCGGCTACGTCGTCGTGTACAGCATCACGCAGGCCTCTTGCAGGTACAGTGATACCTGCCGTTTTGAACGAGGAGTTCGCCAAACGACCGTTCATGCACGATATCCGGTACTTCGTGGTGTCCGCGGAGAAGCAGACATCGTTGACGACGACGACAGAGCGGGATGAACGTCGCGAACGTCGTTTCTCCGCGGAAACCGTTGCTCCAGACGCGTAAAGTACAACACCGCGACTTTCGCCGATTCGACGAAATGCAGCAGTTGTTTGTAATCGATTCCTCGAGACAATGGCGATTCGTCGAGCGGCTC